CTCAGGCTGCCACGGGCAGGAGCAAATGCCAGGAAAGCCTGCCGAGTCATGTGCACCAATGCTATGATAAAGCGTGAGGAACCACGGCAGGCGAGGGTGACCAAGGCAGGGGACAAACGTGCCAGGCAGACAGAGTTTAAGAGAGAAGTTTTATTAGAAAGGGGAGGGCCGGGGAAGGAAAAAGAGGTAAAAAGACACAGAGAGAGGGCAGAAGAGAAGAGGGAGACAGGAAAAGTCCTGTCTGCCCCAGGGGAACCTCAGGGAAGAGAGTGGGAAAGAGAGGAGCAGGCAAAGAAAAGAGTAAAAGAGAGGGCTGGAGAGCTGCTCTTCCCAAGGTCCCGAGTTCAATTCCCAGCAACCACATGGTGGCTCACAACCATCCAAAATGAGATCTGGCGCCCCCTTCTGGCCTGCAGGCATACTTGCAAGCAGAACCCCGTGTATTTAATAAAATCTTTGGAAAAAAAGAAAGAGTAGACACAAACCCTCACATCAAGGCTGGGCTAAGCAACCCAGTAGGAGGAAAAGGGTCCCAAGAGTAGGGAGACACCCATTCCCACTGTCAGTAGTTGACCCCCAAACACCAAGCCAACAACCATAACAAGTATGCAGTGCAATTGCTCCACTTTCTGTGAGACCCCATGAGCCCTGCTTGGTTGACTCACTAAGCTACACTCTCCTGGTGCCCTTGACCCCTCTGGCTCCCACAAGTCCTCCTCCCCCTCTTCAGTGGGTTCCCAGAGTTCCAAGGGGAGGGACCCAATGAAGACCCCCAACCTCGGCTCTCTCCACCTAACGTATGACTTTGGGAAGGACCTGAGTTTTTATCTCCAGTACCCACATTAGAAGTCAGATGTACCGTTGTATCCCTGGAATCCTCTACTGGGGAGGCAGAGACATAAGGATCTCGGGGCTTCATGTCCAGTCAGTCCAAGCAAATCAGTGAGCTCCACGTTCAGCGAGAGAGCCTGCCCAAAGATGGTATAGAAAGAGACAAAGATGGGCTATTGATTAAAAGTACTGTTGCTCTTCCAGAGGACCCAGGTTCAATTCCCAGCACTGGTTATCAGGCAGCTCAGAACTGCCTGTAACTCCATCTGCTGGGGATCTGGCGTCCTCTTCAGGCCAAAGTGGGTGCTTATTAATGTATTACACACATACACAAACACGCAAAAAATAAGTCTTTTAAAATATTTTTTAAAGATTTTATTTATTATGTATACAACATTCTGCTTCCATGTCTATCTGCACACCAGAAGAGGGCACCAGATCTCATAACGGATGGTTGTGAGCCACCATGTGGTTGCTGGGAATTGAACTCAGGACCCCTGGAAGAGCAGTCGGTGCTCTTAACCTCTGAGCCATCTCTCCAGTCCCCTAAAATATTTTTTAAAATAGTGGCTAGTAATAAAGGAAAGACACCTGATACTGGCCTCCGCATGCACAAACACACATACGCACACACACACACACACACACACACACACACACACACACACACACGCCGAACAAAGTATCAACCTGATAACGTATCAGGAGCCTAAAAATTCATTGTATATGAGGCATGCACTACACACTTCATAAAGGTATGTAAACATAATTAGCATACTACATACAGAGCCAAGGATACCTGAGAAGGTCTGTAAGTACATCCTAAGGAAATTGTAAAAGAAAGCCTTATAGAGCTTACTAATATAGTTATGAACACAGAAACAGGTCCACAGACATGTGCTTTGGTTGATGCTCCAGGCAGTTTGCCTTGTCCATAGGGAGAAATATGACTGCAGTTTCAGTGTAGTAACTGTAAATCAGTGAAGGATTCCATGAACATCTGTGCTCAGTCCTGCTCTGTGCCGTGGAAGGAGTGAAGACAAGGAGCTGCCGTCCCATCCCTGGAGAGCTCTCAAAGAGTTGGCAGTGCAGGCTTCATAGGAAACTGAAGAGCTGCTTGTCCACCTTGACCAAGGTTTCATAGTGGCCCTGGGGTGCTGCAGGGCCTGTAGGAAAAGAAGATTAGACCTGAGTTGTTTGAGAAATATTAACTCTTTTGTTATATTTGATTATTTTATATGGGTCCATGCATGTATGTATGTGGTCATACATGTGTAGGGAGTTCAGGGGACAACTTATTAGTGTTGGTTCTTCCTATCTGCCACGTGAATTCTGGGGATCAAACTCGGGTTGTCAGGCTCAGCAACAAATGCCTTTACCCAATAAGCCCTGTCAACTGGCCCCAGATTTTAATTTTCTAGGGTCTCCAACATAGGATCTATTCCGGGGAGGTCCTCACCCCACTTCCCATCCTCTCCAGCTTGAGTTATTTGAAAGCTACAGTTGATAAAAGGTGCTTAACGCAAAAATAAGTGTCTATTCTTTTTTTTTTTTCTAATTCTGTGTGAGTGTGGAGAAGGTATGTGCGTGTTAGGGTTGGGGGCTGCAGAGGCCAGAACAAGGCATTAGATCCCTGGGGCTGGAGTTGCAGGTGGTTGTGAGCTATGCTTTTTGTTTGTTTGTTTGTTTTTGTTTTTCGAGACAGGGTTTCTCTGTGTAGCTTTGGAGGCTGTCCTGGCACTTGCTCTGGAGACCAGGCTGGCCTCGAACTCACAGAGATCCGCCTGCCTCTGCCTCCCGAGTGCTGGGACTAAAGGCGTGTGCCACCAACGCCCAGCTTCAGCTGACAATTCTTTTAACTTTTTATTTTATTTATTTTACATACCAACCACAGTTTCCTCTCCCTCCTCTCCTCCCATTCCCCCCTCCCCCCCCACCTCCCATCTACCCAATTCCCCATCCACTCCCCTTCCATCTCCATTCAGACAGGGACAAGCCTCCCATGGGCTTGAACAAAGCATGGCCCATCAAGTTGAGGCAGGACCACGCTCCTCCGGCTGGGTGACGCAATCCGGCATGGGGAACAGGTTCCCAAAATTCAGCTAAGCATGCCAGGGACGGATCCTGTTCTCACTGCTAGGAGCCTTACAAACAAAACAAGCTACAGAACTGTCACACACAGCAGAGGGCCTGGGTGGGTCCCCTGTGGGGTTCTCAGCTGTTGGC